AACAGTCGGAACTAAAATAAAAATTACGTACGTACATACTCCATCTTGTTAATAAAATAAAATTACTTATTATTATTAGTTTATCATTATTAAATTATAGTAGGTCAATAATGTTTTCATTTGTTTTTTTTTTCCTGCAAAAAAAAAAAAAAAACGATGCAAAATGGTATAGCATATATTTTTAACATTGTAAACTTTATTTCGTTAATTACAAGCAAAAACCATCAAATTAGGACCTAGCCAGACAAAATATCAAATATACCTAACCTATCATATCGGCGGATTTGCGGAATTGGACCTGAATTGGTATCTTCATGATAACCACATTACATGATTAAGTGTTCGGCGTTAGTGTCAGAGTTAAGTTTTAGGCTAATTTGTTTATTGTTAGTAATCAAATGACGTAATTGCATGATTTCACGTGAAGTGATGATCACTGGGTTTCTTGTTCTTCTAGTATCATATTTTTCTATGTACGTTTTGTTTGCAATATACAAAATTAGATGTTCAAATTGCGGGAATTTTTGAGGATACATCAGGTCCAATTCCGCAAATCCGCCGATATGGCTAAATGTGAAATATGCAATGTTCGGCCGTCTAAAAAAATAGGTTGGTGGTTTAATTATTTAAAGCTATATAGCAACGAAGATCTAATAAGCATATAATATCTATTGAAAAGTTTTTCAAATTTTTCATTTGTAACGTTAAGAATTATAGTCTAATTCTTTCCGGTATTAAATATTTCAAGAAGGATACGAAAAATCCGAATCTCTATCGACAGACAAATTAGCGTCTTATCTATTGTACCAAATTTCATTACAGCCAACGAATACTCAGAAAGAAATATCGATTAATCCGAAATGAAGGGCTTAAAGAGTGATCAATTACAAAAAGAGTAATTTATCAAGAACGTCGCAGAAAACAAACCAAATGACTAAAAATATTATAATGTCAAAAAGCAAGTTTATTTGTATTATTCTATGCATTAGATATAAGACCCTAGCATAACCAATCTAAAAAATTTTGCTGATCATGTGATAGGTTGATCAACTACTAAAATTAGGCTTTTTATTTTTTTATTTTTTTTAGCGCGTTTTTTTTTGATAATTTTTTTTGCATTGTTCTTTGGAGCCTCTTTTTTTGCTCACTTTTTCAGCACTTCTTTTGTTGCTTTTTGGTGATTTTTTGGTGCTCTTTCGTCATTTTTTTGAAGTTTTTTGTCATTCTTGTTTTTTTTTCGATAATTTTTTTGGAGCTTCTTTTTTCATTTACTTTTTCAGCACTTTTTTTGTTGCTTTTCGGTGATTTTTTGGCGCTCTTTCATCATTCTTTTGGAGTTTTCCATCATTCTTCATCGTCTTTTCATGTTTTTTTTGATTTTTAATACTTTTTCACAGTCTTTTTTTTTTTATATCAAATTTTCTTTTGTCATTTTTCTACCTTTTCATCACTTTTTCAGTGCTTCTTTCACCACTTTTTTGTTGTTTTTTCAGTGTTCTGGTATTCTTTTGTCATTCTTTTAGTGATCTCTTCATCATTCTTTTGGTGATTTGTTTTACTAGGAATTCGATAGTGTAGTTTGAGTTGGGTTAGGGTTAGTAGCACATCTAGAAAAGTTGATTCTCTTGTAATTTTTGCTGAGAATTCAATGTTGTAATTTGGGGTTGGGTTAGAGTTTGGGTTAGGAGTAAATTTTCTATTAGTAAAATTTCAAAAGAAGCATTTTAATTAGGCTATGGAGGATAGTTTCTTAATAGTTTTTTTTTGTAAAAAATAGTTATTGTTAATTTTAATAAATAAAGAATTTTTTTTTATTAAAAAAAATTAGTTTTAAATGTTGTATAATTTTTTTTTTTTTTAAAAAAAAAAAAATCTTAACAATATCGTCATTAAGAAAAAAATTTTGATTGGCCAGCACGTGATTAGTGAAATTTTTTAGGTTGGTAGCGCTAGGGGGGCTGAAAAATCAAGTCTTAATAAAGAAATAAGTAAAAATTTGAAGACACTTCCGGGCCATCACTCGAACCCAATCTGATACACATTTTTAGGGTGCATAATTTTTCATACTTTTCGAATTGAATCTATGCAAAAAATTGGAACTCCTTAATAAAATTTATAATTAATTTAGTATCAATGTGCTATGAGTTTATGCATAACCTCCATACAATAATTCACTGCTTAGCATAATAATTTATGATGTAATTTACAATCAAGTTATGCTTAAAATTATTTAATGAAGTTAGGAGTATATTTAATTTGGTTACATTTCACTTCGTAGAAGTTTATTTCACAGACACCTTGTTTCACAGACAATCAGTTCATAAACAAGTTTATTTTAAAGACAATTAATTTACAGATAGTTCATTTTGAAACAGTCAATTTTATCGACAGTTTATTTTATATAGCAAATAACTTCTGAATCAATGTTAAAGATTGTCTACAAAATGAAATGTCTATAAAATGAAATGTCTATAAAATGAACTGTCTATGAAATGAACTGTCTGTAAATTAATTGCCTTTAAAATAAACTTGACTATGAATTGATTGTCTATGAAACAAGGTGTCTGTGAAATAAACTTCTACGAAGTGATACGTACCCATTTAATTTTACTATTTATATTATGGATCAATATGGCATAATTATGGTTTTAGATTACTTGTACTGTACATATTATTCTTGTCAAATTATTTCATATGCGATGAAAATTAGAAATCCTTTGAATTTTATAATTCAGTAACTATTAAATGTTCATGTGTTAAATAATCTGCAATGTAACGTACAACCAAGTTGCGCTTAAAATTATTCAATAAAATTAGGGAATATTTAAGTTTATTATTTTTCACTGACGTAATTATGGCTTTAGATTGCTTGCATCGGACATATCATTTTTCTCGAATTATTTCTATTCTGAAATTGGAAATTCTGATTGAAATTGACAAAATTTACATTCAATGTGCCACCAGTTTATACATTAACTTTCTACAGAAAGTTGTGATTTTAACTCCTGCACCGTACATACATACAGTGCATTATCATTGTTTCAGCACTGCAGCATGGTACATACATAGAGTACAGGAATATATTATTCTCATAACGGTTTTTTCAGTCTGCAGTATTCCTAGATAGTGAATAGGTCACTTACCCGACATCACATAGGGTTATGGTTACGTACGTGCGCACATTTATTTTTTACAAGTTGTCACCCTATGTGATGTTAAGTCGGGGAAATAATTTTCGAGGAAACGTGCCGTAACCCAGTATGTGTAGAATAGTTGCTAATAAGTATATTATTCTTGGAATTTAAGAGTTGAAAATCCTACGCCCTTGATTGATAGTTTAAGAATTTATTTTCGATGTGTTACTAGTTTATGCATTATCGCTATAGTGAGGTTTGAAGTTTCCTATTTCATATATATGTATGCACGTGCAGACGGCTCTAAGTCTAAAACCAATTACTTTATACATAATAAAGGCCAACTAGTTTATTGGAGGTAACTTAATATGTCATTATCAGTAACGGCTTATTTCAGTATGCATAGAACAGTTGTTAGTAAGTAATACGTATTACCAGTAAATAATTCATTGTCTGGCAGCGAATTTAATGTGCATCATTTCTAGAGATGGGCAAAGTCAGTTACTTGTCATTTCTAATTATTTCTTTTAATATTTTGCGTAATAAGTAATAATAAATAAAGAATTATGATAAATTCCAAATCCAATCTGATAATATATTTAAATTTTTCTCACCAGATTACATTTGAAAATCGTAATAAGCAATAATCGTCCGTCATAATTAATAATTAGTAATAATGCGTATGTATTACTGAGTAAAAATGTAAAGTATTTATCTTATATTATTACCCTGCCATCTATAGTTATTTCAGGCTCCGAAGGCTCTGAAGATGACATAATAATGCAGTTAATAAATAATTTTGCTTCCGTTATTGGCTTCTTCGTGTCTAATTATAGTATTATCCGGTAATTCGCTTGTCAAAAAATTCATTATTGATATAATCACTGCAAGCACAATCGTCGTAACCAAGGATAACGCAGTCAATAGCTTGTTTATCTGGCATTAACTTAATATATATCATTTCTGTGCCCTTCAGGGTCTATAAGCTGACATACGTATTAAAGTTCACAGCCAAAATAATGAATAATTTTGTAAATAATTCTCATTATTGGCTACTTCGCATACAATAACTGCATATTATTTTTGGCGTATTGTTTATAAATCTTTCACTGCTATTTTATGCATTATCTCTATACAGGAGATTAAAGTTTTGAGTTCCTGTATCGTACGTACGTATATGGTTAGTGATTTAAGCCGTAAGGTTTTAGTCGGCTGGCTAAGTCAGCCGACTAAAATATCAATTAATCGGCTAGCTAATGGCTGACAAATGCCATACTTCCGGAAAATTTTGGTAAACATTCCAAAAATTTAGCTCATCCTTGCTTGTATTTTATGCTCATTCATTTTCTTTTTAGAAATTTATCGGAATCCTACTATATACCGTATCCTGTCGTGAATAAGCACTACACCCTCTACCCTAATTTTTAAATGTCAGATTAGCGAAATCGCAATGAAGTCTTAGCCAAATTATTACCGCCAATCTGATATTTAAAAAAAGTTGGTAGAGGGTGTAGTGCTTATTCACGATAGGATACGGTACTAAAATATATGATCTTTAGTCGCATTAGCCAGCCCGATCATATTACTTTGGCTGGCTCAGCAGGCTAAGCCGGCTTAGCTGCGGCTGCAATAGCCGGCTTAAATCACTATATATGGCATCCATCAACAAAGTCGTAATGTGCGACATTGAGTCAATTATTTAAACGCAGGTGTTTTCTCTTTTTCACAAAAAATTTTCACCTGATTTTATGTTAAAATAGAAAACCTATACTTTATCCTTTAAAAGTAAGGCGAACTACAGTCAGATTTCCCTTCCTTATAATTATAAGACAAAAAAAGGAATCATCTAGTGTGAAAAGCTTTGCAATGAAGGATCTGAAGTATAGTTCTTATTGTAAAGTCGATAAATCCCTCCTTGTTGGGGGTAAAGTAGATACAGTACTGAAACGAATCTCCTCAGATGACGATATTGATGGAGATAATGACGTATTGTTAGGACAGCAAGCAATCTTCACCGAGCAACCTGGTCTTGATATGATAAGTGACTTCCAGGATGTCTTATCACACAACCAATGTATTGTTAACACTAACGGAGACGAAGTTTATTTTACTGATGCTGTACCTTATATAAGAACATCAGCACATCCTATGGAAGATGTAACATCTATAGTATTTTGGCATAAAGAAAATGCCGTGTCTGTTCAGGTTGATATATATGATGTTCCAGATATTAAATCAAGTAAATATCCTAATGGATTGCATCACGACACCTCGGAAATTAATTTAGGAAGTAACACAGAACGTAATAGGCTGATCCGATTAACCTTATTTGGTAAAGCGGTACATAGATATGATACAATCATGTTCTCTAAAATGCGTGAACTTATTCAGGATTATATCGTCTTTGTCAAGAACCAACCTCCTGAAACTAGAAAATGTCTTATGATTGGTATTAATGTTAACGAAGCATTAAATACCAATGATGATTTTGATATGACATTAAAAATCTATTGGGATGCTGAGAATATCTGTATGTGGCCTAAATGCATTAGAAAGGATGGTATTTGTTATATTATATCTCAAAAAACATTAGGATTAGAAGATATAGAAAGTCAAATAATCATCAAACCGCGGGAAGATGATCATATTAGGAAAGCTATATATGATGCTGCAATAAATGCCTCAATTACTCAGATCATACACAATTATTATCCACAATCCAGCATCGCTCTTCAGATGGCAGAACACGCTAAATGGGGTATGTCGATTGCTATCTCACTTGTGTTAGAAACGTGCGGAATCGAGGTTAGGGAAAAACCTTTTGAGATGATAAATATCGTTATACCAGATCAAGTATACAAGCTTAAAACAACATTAATAGGTAAAGGAGATGGTGTACCTATGATGAATTCAAAAGCTTGGAATGTTATGTTTCCACCGGATAGTTTAAAGGGCATATCAAAAAGCCCGATGGCTGTTGCCAACAGTATAGTTTACAATAATATAGTATATGGTAATGAGTTGGGTAGACTAATGGGACCAACAGATAATTTGTTTCTATACGATTATGCGGTCGAAAGCAGAGAGAACATCAACACATGGTTTTCTGGTGCCAGAAATAAGATAGGATTCCTATTCAAATATATGACACCATTACAGGCAACAAGTACATTGGGGAATGTCATGGCTTATGAGGTGATTAAAGCCAAATGTAGAGTAGAAGAAGCAAGCAGACGCTACTCTCAGATAAATAAAAAAATGGCTGTGTGGAAGGATTGGAGAGCAATGTTACATTACAGAGTTGTCGATGCTGCTTTTCTTAAGATAGTTCCGTATACAATGTTGACTGTTGATGAAATGGATGCCATCGGATTTGCTACGGTGATACATGACTTGGTTGATTTTGGATATGACTTAAGTGTCAAGGAATCAAGCAATACATTCTTAACTATAACGGGTGGTAAGATAGACTTGGATTCTGTAAAGGAAGGATATATTCGAATGGCAAATGGGCTACAATATGTCATTGAAAGATACAAATATGATGCATGTGGATTGACATTCCTATCTACACACTTCTGGCAAATGGCTAATGGACGTCATCGAATTATTCCATCAATCTATAATGGTGAAACTAACTATCAACATGAGTATTTGGAATTGAAAGGAACATTGTTGGATGCATTGCAAAATAATAATGTTACTAAGAAAGATAGCATCGATGCATTGGAAGCCGCAGATAACATTAGAGTTGCTGCTTCAACATTAGGATATGATGCTATAGCAATGGCAAAACTTGTCACTGTAGATATTGCTGGTAGTTACACTGGCGATATTGAAATGTCTCTCGAAGCCATTAATGTGATTGAACGTAAAATGTGTGAATTAACAGTATCCCTTTCAATAGGATGCGATGCCGATGGCAAGATGGTATCCTTTCTATGGATGATATGCGAGTATATGTGGTTAAAAACAGGAATGATGTTGTCTTGTTTGCTTGGCACATTAAAAATTATGCATAACAGACGACAGTCAGATGATAGAGGTGGATTGCAATACAAATGGTAACTGGTTATATAATAAGATAGTTGTGCGATGTTGTCACGCAAAACCAGGAATGGAAGATGGGGCGGTATTACATATATTAAGTTGATGTACTATAATACAGTAACTAGAATGTAATGTATATAGATTTACATTAAATATACACTCTAAACTCCGGTCTAAATATACATTTAATTCTATATTGTATTTTTTTACTTGTTTTCTTAATGTACATTATTAATCCTACGTGTCATATTTTACCATATATTATATCAAATTTTTACATATAATAAAGCAGTTTTATTTAAGAAATTTGAAAATTGCATGATATTAAATTAGAGATAATAAACTTTTTTATTTTGCCATGAACTGGTATTTTTACTATCTATTTATCGGATTTTTCTTAATTAATAATAACGAAAGGATTTTTCGATTATATCTAAATTTAACTCATGCCTTGTGATCATGCTAAGACGTGTCCTAAATTTACAATTTCATGTAAATATTTATCAGGCATTGAAGCTGAACGAAGTGATGGCGATGCTGAGGAGATACAAATCTATTGTCACGGGTCCCCATGATTAAGGCTTAGACGAAATATCTTAGATTTTATTTTTTTTCTTTATTTTGTTGTTTTCTTTTATTTATTTGTTTATTTGTAAGTTATGTATCATACGATGGATCCAAAGATTAGTCATCGTGAGCCACGGTTGTGGGTTAGCTCACAATTGTTGTGTGCTTAGTTCCCGGTATTATGTAGGGGATTAATAATAGTAGTTGTTTAAAGAGTCTCTCACAATAGTTGTGCCGGTTCATGCACAAGCATTGTGAGGAGGCGGAGGAAATCTAAATTATTTTAAGAATAGGGAAGCACAGTTGTAAGGGATAGAAAAATGTATTTAAAAGCACTCAATTTCCGTTAATAAAGTTCTCCTAGACTTCGATGTCTTTAATAAATATAAGAATCGAATTCTCACTTGTTTAAATACAGTTGTGAATGATATTGTTACCGTTTTTATTTGTTTCCTTATTATTCGTATTATTGTTGTCCTAGAAGTTTCCCTAATTATTACTTTAATATTAACCTAAATTCATCATTGTTGCCCATAAACGATATTATTATCTTATACTTAACCGCCCTTTTCTCTAGTATAAACCCATCCCATTGTTTTCTAATCTCTATTGTTAACTGACGCCATCCTTAAATTACCCTTTTAGTTAACCCTTTAATTAATTTATTAATTTTCTACAGGGGATCCCCAAATTTCCGGGTCGTAATGGCCGGAATTCGTCGTAGTTAAGGGCTGGGTTAGGGTTAGCGGGAGCTATAAGCTATAGTAAAATTATCAGTTGGCACTTTTCACTTAATGAACGACTATTGTTTCATTAGTAAAATTCTTAGTGATCTTGGGGCAAAATTGATCAACTC